TACCAAGATATTCAGATTTGTTACTCGGTTATTAGCAAAGTTTGCCATTTATATTTTTTATGGACTTTCTGCTTTGTTGAAGAAATAAAAAAATACCATGTATATTGTATTTGACTCGCATGAACACATGTACGTTTAAACTTGTGTTTGTACATTTTCCATGTATATACACATGGGAACATACAGTGCTACAAAATTATAATTATATCTTTGCTTATAATAGAAAGTCTATACTTCGTCTTTAAATTTTTATATGATATATGTATCCTTCATCGTGATTTCTTGATATTATGATTATATGTTTATTTTCTTCATTGTATCTTATCATCATAGTATATAATTTACTTGCATTCCAAATGCATATATTATGTTTGATAATCCAAAATTAATTACAGGATGTTTAAAAAATCCTTTTATTACATTTTTATCAATTATGTAATAGAAAGTTTTAAAATATGAAAAGCTACATATTTTTTTTAATAAAATGAAAAGAAAAAGAAAACTAGAAAGAAAATAGAAAGGATGAGAATGAAGAAAAAACTAGATCATCGTTATTCCTTTTTTCACACTGTAAAAATGAGATATACTGAAAAGTGTGAATGAGTTAAGGATTAGTGATTTAAATTTGTCTCCTTGAAAGATTCCATTCTACTCCAACAGTAGAATGTTTCATTCGATGGGATAAAACATGAAATGCACTTGAGACGCAGTAAATAAAATTAAAATAATTTATACATAATTAAAGAAAACGTTGTTGGAAACATGTCGATAAATGAATTACAAGAAAAAAATTATCGCTGTAAATATTTAATAAGTAAATATTGTAAGAAAATCGATTAGATTGCAAAAATAGAGAAAAAAAGACAGCATTGTTATTATGCTGCTTGGAAATGTTGCACGTGCATGCGACGCATCGTGTCGATAATTCACGTATGAACACGCACGTATATCGCAATTTATACATATATTTGCGTGTGCTTACGTTTATATTAATATACATATACAGAATATAAATAAAATATCACTAAAAATTCCAAAACACAATACATAAATACATACACTTCTATGATAAATCATATCTATAACAAAAAAAAAAAAAAAAAAAAAATAAAAAAGAACTCCATGTCAAACTGTTGTTGATTATTTTCTCGAATATATGCCTGTCGATCATACGCCGAAGGAAATCGTTAATTAAATCAGTAATTTATATTACTGATTTAAAAACATGATATACAAATTACATACATACACTTCTATGATAAATCATATCTATGCGAAAAAAAAAAATAAAAAGAACTCCATGTCAAACTGTTGTTGATTATTTTCTTGAATATATGCCTGTCGATCACAACGCCGAAGAAGTCATTAATTAATCAGTACTTTATATATTTTTTGTAACAATTCATATACAATATTGTTTCTAATCTTAAATAAAATACGTGTAATACTGAACGAATTATATAAATATATAAATCTTATTGAAATTTCAACGTTAATATCTGATGCATTTGAAATTAAAAAGATGTAGATATATATCTACATATATATATTGTATACTTGACAGAATAATTTACCATTTAACATTAAGATGCAATAATTATAATCATACTGTAACGTATTACATAAATACGCATTTTTAAAAACATTAACGTGTAATATCCTATATTGTATATTTATTACAATGTAGTTATTTTATATGTATGTAATATAATTGAAATTATTATAACAAAATAATAAGGCTTCTGATGTACATCCACCAAAACGTTAATTAATTTTTACAATTAAATTTTTCATTTTTTTTTTTTTAACTAAAAAATACTAAGATGACATAATAATACATGACTTTCAAAAGATTTCTAACTATACAAATTATTTAATAGAAATAAAATTGATATTTTTAAATATTTAATTATTTTTATATTGTTTTATATTTTTATTTTATCTATATTTTTATGTTTCATGCATACAATAAAATATTTCTTATTTTTAACATTTTTCTTCATTTGTTATAATAATATATAATTGTTATGATACGAAGTTAGATGAAATTATTGCAAATCGGAAGATCGTCTGAAGTGTGCTGATGTCGTAAACGGACCTTCGTCGGCAAATCCAGCGATCTCTTGTGGGATAATAGCATATTCTTCTACGCTTGTGCACGGTCTACACATACATTCTAAAGGTGCTTTGGTAATTACCTGTTAAAGAATAATTAATCATAAATTCATGATATACTATACATAAATATATAAATTTAAATCATTTTATATAAAAATATTTTCATTTGATTTCTTATCGTTTGTTATAAAATATAGAAATAAATATAATTTTATATTTATTAATTATTCTTATAAAATAATTTAATTCAAATCACGCGCGATATTCATTTTCTGATGTGCTTCCCACTGGTCGGTTAGATGAAAACAATATGGCTGCGGGAAACTCGTGGTGTCAAAAGTTTTGTTCTTGATTTTATGGTTCAAGTGATTAATTGACCGACGTCTTATTAGTTTTTAATATTTGTTCAAAATGTTTCAAATTTTATGATTAATTCAGAGCAATAATTTAACCTTTCGGAATTTTTTTTCGCCTGGTTTGGCTCTCGGACAAAATAGTGATACACTGGCCTCTCTTTCGCCGCTTTCTTGACAACACATGCAGCTTCTTTCCATTTGCCAAATTTTTGATCCAGACACCTGTAGAAACAGGTATGAATAAATAGACATTTATGTGTATATATATATATATATATGTATATATATATATAATTTGAAAATTTTCTTTGAAATACATATTTAATTTTTTTAATGTTGCATAAAATACAATGGCATCCAACAATTATAAGTATATAAAACTGATGCCTATATGTTTATATAAATTCTAAATAATGAGTAATGGAAAATGTTTAGAATTTTTATACATATTTAATTAATAGAAAATAATGGAAAATATAATAAATCTTACATTTTATTATTCAAAATTATATAATTACATAAAGAATTGAAATATTATAAAAATAATGGGAGAAAAATTTTAATCTTAAATATTTAAATAAATTTAAATTATTTTAATATTAAAATTAACTAATATTAAGTGACATATTAAGTAACATAAATTTATATATATAAGATTTATAAAAAAATATTAGTATAAATAACATTTTTATATTGTTTTGAATAATAGTTAATTGAATAAAGATACTTTAAATATGACTGTTATTTTTGTTAACTAGTGCAAAAAAAATTATACAAAAATTCATAAATTTATTTGTATAAAAATAAGATATAATATTAATAAAATGGAACATATTTGTAAATATATTTATATATTTATTCATACATATTACCTGCAGGTAACTGCTGCAACGTCCTCTACATGCATAACTGGGAATTGGTTTTGGAACACATCCAGGATATTGTAAAAAGTGGATAACTGGAGTTGCTTGACATTCATCAACACCTATAATTGCTTTCGCTGTTTCATTTAGCAAGCATATTAATACACTGGCACCTACTACATAGTAAGTAATAGAATTATATAAAATTACATTTTTATTTAATTTATAGTTAAAAAATCAAATTATTTCATTTTTTTACTTAAAATTTTTTTTGATTTTAAATATGAGTATTAATTTTCTATTTACCAATATGATAGAGTAACATAGTGTTAGTAATAATAGGATACTTTTGCTCCTAGATCTAATACTTAACTGTGCTTAAAGATTGTGCGCTCTATCCTTTTATACTCTGTGGGTAAGCATGTTACTCCCCTTCTATGATTGTGTTATGTTAATAACACAAATAAAAGGATCAAGTATATAGAAATGCTATTAAAGAATAAGTGTTCTTCTAAATACTGATTATCCCATATTATTTTCATGAGAAAACATTTTCATTAAATATTTTTACATTTTTTATAAAAAATTATTGTGATAAAATTGATTATTATGAAAGCTATTACATATAAATTGATTAAAATTAAAGTTTATAAACTAAAAATTGAATTTAATTTTCTATATTATTTTTATTATGTTTTATTATATATATTTATATTATATATTATATATATTTTTTAATATAATAACTTTATATATTGATTGTATATGATTTTCTGAATATAATTCTAACATATATATAAAAATCATATTTTAAAATACAATAATATTATAATATTAAAATAATTAAGATATCTAAATCATAAAAAATTTTATTTATTAGAAATATTATAATTATGTAGAAAAAGTTCTATTAAACATTTTTTTTCAAATCAACTGTTTAGGTAACATTACAAATGATTTTTTTATTGGAATATTATAGACTTTCAAGAATAATTTATATATTTAATTAAAATTAAATTAAATTGATATAAGAACAATGACTGTCATATAACTATAATATTTTAATCTAAATAGTGAAAGAATTATATTTTATTATATATCTAATTATATAAAGTCTATCTAAAGTCTTATCTAAAAAATAGTATTATTACTACTTTTTTATATTTTTTATTTTCTTTAAATATTTTTTTTTAAATAATTTCAATAATAAAAAAAATTATAAATTTCATTTATTATTTTATATTAATCATATTAATAATTATATATATTCTTTAATTGTTTTTTAATAATATTATTATTAATAACCAATATTATTATTATAAACAATAATATTATTTAAATATATATTATATAATATGTTATATATTATATGCATTATATATCTCAATTTTTTAAAAAAAAAATTAAAATTTCCAAATGAATAATTATAAAATTATATAATAAATAAAAATAAAGTATTGAATATAATATTTAATCAGTTTTTAGTATATAACTTATTAAATTATAAAATAATTCATTTTAAATAATATTATAATATTTAATTTATTTAATTTTAAAAATAATTTAATATTTAATAAATTGTATTTTTATATTATTTAATATTATTTATAAATATAAGGAGATTAAGGGAAAGTAAATTATTTTATATGTATTCTGTATATTCATTTTTATTTTGAACTATATAATTTTTATTACATAATTTATAAATGATAATTTTATTATCACTTTTATAATTTATTTATTGTGATATATCACCACATTTAATACATTTACATTCTACTGGTTCACGTATCTTGATTTCCATTACTCCATTTTCTTCATTTATTAATTTTATACCATCTGCATCATAACAATGATGTAGTGTAATATGTCTTTCTTTTAAATAACTTTCACGACAGCAATAACATTCCTATTAAAAAAAATAAGAATTTTTTTATTGCTTTTATAGAAGTATTTTTTGTATTTTATCTTAACATTTTCACCTTTGAAAATCCTGTTGTACTTGCTACACTTGGTTGTACCTGTGAATTACAAAATCCTTCACATTTTGTAACAGATATATCTCCACTACATGTTCTTTTCAACCGACCTATTTCATCATATTCATCTAAAATAAATAAAAAATGTTTTATTTTCTTTATACTTATTTATATATTGATTTAATGAAATTAAGAAAAAAAATAATACCTTTTGTAATATGTACTTCTGATTGTAATGTTTCACAACTCTCATCATCTGTTACTTGAGCAACTGTTTCATTAGTATATATGAATACAATTAATATCAAAAAAATTGAATATATAAACATAATACTGAAGTTTTCTTTCATTGATATTTTATTGATGTTTTACAGATTCTGTTTTTAATATAGCAAAGGTATGCTTAGAGATTCTAAGTGAAATGAAAGAACAGAAAATCAAACAGATGCTTTTATAGGTAGCTTTCCCTCCAACATGTTGTTACTTGGGGGTGCTGAACTCCTGCTAAGACATAATAGCATATCTGAAGCAGGATTAGTTTCCCTTACATTGCACACTATTAGATTTTTTTCTAATATAGAGATTGTTCTTTTTTAGTATTTTGCATTATGACTCTAATGGCCTTTTTATGTTTCCACTCTCTGGGTGATCATACTAAAGAAGCATTATTAATATTTAGATCTTAAATCTTTTATATTTTACTATGTGATTGAAATATAGGTGTAAGTAAAAACATATTAACAAAATTTTAATTTATTTTTATTTATGCACATTTAATTAAATTAAAAACATCCCATTTAATGATCATTTCTTTCATTTCCTGGACAATTATCTGCTAAATCTTTTTCATCTAGAAATGCTACTCCACACCAAATACAATAAAAATATTTTTCTCTTAAATATTTTGTTAAAATTTCAAGTTTTTCGTTAACAGAGAAGAAATCATCATCTTTTTCACTATCGCTATTTTCATCATCTTGAGGCAACCAAAACCATATTTCTTTAGGTTTTATTATTTCTTGTTGCATATCTAATTTTTGACAAATTTTTTGACTTTTATATAAATCTGTTTTTAATAATTGTTCTTTCCTTTTTTGTGCAATTCTATCTCGAAAATCTTTCATACTCTTATTATCTAATTTATCATTTAATGTATTATTTTTATTTTTTTTTCCTTTTCTTTCATTTTGTTTTCCTAAACCTTGCCTATCTAATTTAATGTCAAGGTTAATTGGTTCAGTTCTTCCTGATTCTGTTTTACCTATACCATGACCAGGTTTATATCCCATTTTCATAATCATTTCATAACCTAAAAACAAACAAAATTGTATAAATGATAGTTATAAAATTATAAAAATTATAAAAATATTTTAATAATATTATATGATATAATATTATATATGATATATATATATATAAAATTTTTATTAAAAGATAAAAAAACAAACCTTTATTAGAACTTGTAATTGCAGAAGATAAACCTGCTTCTCTATTTTCTTCTTCAATATGTTTTAAAGAATGTTTTTCATCTAATTTTGCTTCAATTTGTTTTTTTTTTTTTAAAAGTTCAAATTTTCTTTTATCTGCATGTCTATATATGAGACTAGATGAAGTAGGTTTTTCACTTCCTTGTAAAAATTTATCTGACATATAATCTTCTGCATCTGACATTTTTATTTATTTTTTTATTTTGAATTATTATTTCTTGGTTATTTATATGAAACACTAATTCTTATAAAATTCCATTTATTATTGAAATATAATTCGTTGCATTTTTTTATTTCATATATTAATTATAAAAGAAAAAAAAATGAATTTACACAATAAAAAATTAGTTATTAAAATTTAAATAATATTTATATATTATTTATATATGAAAAATTTTTTTAAATTATGAAGTTTACTATGTATTATTTACTAGGTTATGTTCGCAATGTTGCCATATACAATAAACCATTCAAAAAACATTGGCCTTTGTATGTTCACATAAGAATACTTGAAGTATATATGTTCAAAAATATTATCTTTATTTAAATTATTGATTTTTCAGAAATCTCTATTCAATTATTTTCAAAGATTTGCAACAAAATTTTTAAATCCCAAATTTATTTCTTATAAATTGTATGCAGATATAATATTATATAATATTTAATCATAAAAATGTGCATTAAAATTTTATAAATAAAATAATAAATGATTCATACAAAAAAAAATAAATAAAAAAATAATTTAATAATTATCATAATTAATTATTTAATTTTTGAAACTAAAATTTTTTGACATATTGATATATATATATATATATATAATTTAATAATATTTTGAAATTCTAATTATTATTTTTAAATCTCAAATAAATTAAATTATAGTATAAAAAAATAAAGTATAATATAAATCATAAAAACTAAAATGTACAGTATTTTACGTTTAATAAAATATTCTATGAAATATTTTATGTTTTAAAAACAAATTTGTAACATTTTTTATTCTTTTATTCTATATATTTTGCAAAAAAAATATAAATATATTTTTTAATAAAAAGTCGAAATCAATATTATATATCTTAATTTTTAGTTTTGTATTTATAATTTTGATTGATATTTCAATATTATTATTAAATTTTACAACAAATTTAACAAATTCTTTATTGCTAAATATAAATAAGGAAAATCAAATATACAAATCTTTTAATAATTAGTATAATTATAGCGCTTTGTTTTATTATTTCAAAATATATACTAATATTATAACTTTTATTTCTATCATATTTTTTAATGGTTATAAATATCTTTTTAAACCCTCTTAATAAACCCTGTTAATAGTTGTTTGCAATATAGCACGCCCAAGAATTTACTACTTTGAATTTGCTACACCGTTGTAATCGTATAGATGACTATACTGCCGTCGGTCGATAAACAGCGAAACGCGGAATTGAAAAGTACTAAGTTAAAGGAACGTGGACCGTTTGTATCTCAATACAGTAATGCAGTAGTTCGAGAACAATATTTTTGGTCTTTACCTAGTTGATCACAACATTACTCGATTCATTATGTTCGAGTATTGTTGATTACGTATTGTGTGTTTCACACTTTTCTAATGAACTTCCTTGAATATACCGTCGAAGACTTCAAAGTGCAAGGGAATTGGTACGAAGGACGAAAGTGTGAAAGCGTACGCTCACCGCTACTTACGCGAAGAAACATATCTTTTGACTATTTTCAATACACTTAGAAGATTTGATCTGATTATATTTTGATGAAACATTCGTTGAAATAATCAAGCAATTAAGAAATATTCTAGACTTGACTAATTGACAAGTACAGTAACCATAACGTTTGTACTAGAAATTTTATGATAAATAGAAAAGAAATACCACAAGGTCGTTGAAATAGTAATAGAATCTTTTTTGCTGTAGAGACATTTGAATACGTATGTCGGGTGTGAATAGTGGCTTTTGTGACAAATCAAAACGACAGTAAAAATATTCAATGATATTAAAACGTGTGATTTTCAATTTTCAAACTTATTATTCTTCATTATGTGTTTGTAATTAATTTTTCTTTATACGTGTTTTGTACTGTTCTTGGAAAGATTTGTTGTTTTTGAATTTTACATCGGCTATGGTTGTAGCCAGTGGTGAGTGGGTACAAAATGCCAGTTTTCCTGCCAGTCAGAATTCCAACCTGAAAATAAATTCTGTGCAAAATAACAAAATGACAGCAAAGGGAGTCTTAATTTGTCGTGATAATTCTCATCCTTTTGAAGAGCGTACATTAATATTGGACCAACCTGTTAAAATTGGCCGTTCTGTAGCGAGAGCTAGAGCTACTCCAAATAATGCAATTTTTGATTGTAAAGTATTATCGAGAAATCATGCATTATTATGGTATTCAGGTGGAAAGTTTTTTTTACAAGACACACGTAGTAGTAATGGAACATTTGTTAATAATCAAAGACTCAGTGCAGCTAGTTTAGAATCAGCACCAAAAGAAGTATGTTCAGGTGACATAGTGCAATTTGGAGTAGATGTAATAGAAAGTACAAAAAAAGTTAGGCATGGATGTATAGTTGCAACATTAAAATTATATTTACCAGATGGAAAAGAAGCTAAAGCTAGTCATAGCACAGCTGTTACATCACCATTTAATAATGTTTCTTTGGAAGATGTGTATAAATTAAACCAAGTTATGCAAGAAGCTTCAAGACGTGAGAAAGCACTTTATTCTAAGTTAGCATATCTTCAACAACTTGTAGCAAATACTCGAAAAGCTGCCAATCAATCTTGGAAAGCATTAATAACAGAAGACCGGTTATTATCTTGGGTGGAAAGTATGGAAAATCAATTGGCAGTTTATTCTAAAAATTACACAGAGGATAAAATTAGAAATGAATTAGTAGCACTTCAAGAAGAAAAGATACAATACCAAAATGCAGCAAAAGAAGCATTACAAAAAGTATTACAAGAGAAATTAGAAGTGACTCAGAGATTAGTTCAATTAGAAGGACGTTTAAATGAAACAGAAGAAGAATGTCAAAGTCTTCATAATGTAGCAAAATATACGCAAACAGAGCTTCAAGAATTATGTAGTAAATATACTGAAGCACAAAAAAAATTACAAGAAACTACAAATAAATTAAAAGAAAGTGAAGAAAAAATAAAAGATATAGTACAAAATACAGAACAAGAAAAGCAAGAACTTTTAAAGAGACTTGAAGATCAATCTAGAATTGAAAAAAATTTGCAGGCAAGATTACGTGATTCTCGGTTAGATTCTGTTAATATTTATAAGCAGATCACTGCCCTCAGAAATTATATGCAAATTCTGCAGGATATGAATTCAAAGTTAGTAACAAGTGATATTATAGATTTAAAGGATGAAGAAAATCCTATTGAGGCTATCAATATTATTCTTAACAATTAAATTCCATTCATGTTGACAATGTAGATATTGATGCAGAGACTAATTTTTATTCTTTGAAAGATGAACATGATAATCAAATTAATTCACAAGATATTGATTCAAATCAGTTGAAAAATTCTGATGATTCTTTTTCAAAAGAACAGATGGATGATTCATTGGCTAATAATGACAATTCAACAGAATATATTTTACCCCCACCTTCTCGAAAAACTTTAGTTAATGGGAATGTAAATATAGATAATACAGATACAAATTCAGAACCTGATGCTAATTCAGATGTAACTGATGATGCATGTAGCATTACCAATTTTGATACAAGTGAAATATCTGTTTTTGAAATTCAAAAAGAAGAACCTTTATATGCAAGAGAAGAATTTTTTGTACCTTACAAAATGGAAGTTAGATTTATATGTGAAGAAAATAGTAAACAATTAGAAACTTCTAATTTTTCTCAATCTGTTCAAAAAATAAAGGAAAATGAAGAAACAGAAATTAATATTGACAGCACAAATAATATTAAAATTGTTTCAAATGAGCCTTTTATAGAAATTAATCAACTGGAAAAGAAGGATGAAACAGATAAAGATAGCAATGAATTAGATGAACAATATGAAGAACATTTAGAAGGAGATTATGTTAAAACCTTAAAGCCATTATCCAAGAATGATACTATAGAGCATGGTATACATACAAGAGAATATATGTTGCAAACTTTGATAGGTTCTTTAGACTCATTAACAATCGAAGATAATTTAGAATCACAACAAATCATTAAGAAAGAATTAGAAAGTCTCAAGGATTGGTTAATTTGTGAACCTCATGAAGAAATTGTAGAAAAACTGAAAGAAATATATTATCGTGCCAAGAATGAAGCTCAAAGAATTGAAGAACTCCATGAAGAATTAGTTATTTTAAAGGAAAAATACAATGCGTTTACTGAAGAAAAGGCAGAACTCTCAAAAAAATATACAACTCTTAAAGCACAATGTGGTGACTTGTTAAATACGACTTACACTGTACCAATACATTATGTAGCACCTATTGCAATTATGTTAATATGGATGTTGCTTGAAAAGATATTTTAATGTTTTCTTTTTGTTTTTTGTATATAATTTTTACAATTGATTAATATAAAATTTTCTTTTTTTGCTTTTTTTTTTTTAATTAAGTTGTTATAAATATTCAAATGATCAAAATATAATAAACTGGATGGTGTATAATTTCAACAAAAAAATTTGAACATTTTTATACCAATGAAAATATTAAAAATTGTATATATTTTTCTGATATTTGTTATTAAAACACCAATCTCAGAAGATGTTCTAATAAATTATAAAGCAAAGGTATACCGTGTTACCATTTAAAAAAAAGAACCAAAATCAAATTAAGCAGAGAATTGTAGCAATAAATATGTATATAGAAAAAGATTTTAGGCTAGGAGGAATGTTTAGAAAAATATAGACAATACCATGTAAAATGTTCAATATGCTGCCAATCTCATATCTTCTTGAATAAAATGGTATTAATCTCGATTTAAAAATATAATACACAATTTACGTCATTATTTTTTGCAATCAATTTAAGCACTGCACCTAACAATTGTATTATTATATAAATTATAAATAACGTTTATATGCAAAAACCGATTTTTATAAATGCCCGATATATCCTACGTCTTAATAATCTTCCCTTAATATTTCTCCTAGAATTAATCTTGAATCTGTGCTAAATTAAAATACTCGATATTTATTTTAAATGATTCAGAGATGTGTTCAAAGCGTAAATCATTATTTAGTTCGATTTTTTCAACATTTTTTTAATATTAAAAATTTGTATAAGAAGAATAATAATTATAAGCTGAAAGAAATCGAATTTATTCATTCTTTACGATCAATAATCATATTATGTATATTTTAATTAATAACATAAATTAATGTTGATTTAAAGAAATTATTTAATCTTAAATATTAGTCAATTTTAAGTTGTAATTTTTTCTCTCTTTCTTTTTTATTTTAACTAATGTAATTGTTTCCTGTACATACTTAAAAATCATTTATTAATGTATAATGTTTAGCATGATTTAATACAAAGCTTTGATTAATAATTATTTTTCATAGTGCTATTTTTTTTGTATATGCGCTTGTCTTCCTTTTTTCTTTTATTATTATTATTATTATTATTATTATTATTATTATTATTATTATTATTATTATTATTATTATTATGCTCTCTTATTTATTTTAATTCTTTTTTTTTCTGATAGAATGACAATAGAAGCATATCAACTTGAACGACCTAATAAATTTTAAGACAAAAAACAATACTTCAACGCGAAACTTTTAATATGGTTCTTATTAAATCAGTGTATTCAGCGAATTTTTAGATAATAATAATGGCCTAAGTGTCCGTTTCTAGTTTATAAAAACAGCAAAAAAAACATTATAATTATACTTTTATTTACTATTTATTTTGTTTTTTTTTTTTTATACAAATTAACATTAGAATTTACTGTATTTTCTTAATTCATAATTACTGTGCCATTGTTCGATCTATTTTTGTCCTGTTAAACAATAAATATTGATCGATTGTATGTAAGCGAATGATAAATATATTCATTTTCCCAAAAAAGGAAAGAACCATTCTTTCTTGGCAGATTAAATGGATCTTATTTTTCTTGGTGAATTGAATATATATTTAAGATCGTGATGGTTTATATAAATAATAAGATAGTATTGTACATAATATTGTTGAACACTCTTACAATTCATGTAATAGCCGCTATATAAGAAAAAATAAAAAATTAACTTAACTGAAACTCTTTACTGTTATTTATTGGTAACCTTTATTGATTACGTTAATATCGATCAATTTATATCGATATGATATTGATGATTTTATTATTTTAAATAATTATACACATAATATTTCTGCAAAGATCAGAAAATTAATATAAATTTGTAAATACATTTATCATACTAATATTTATTAAAAATATGATTTAATATCATGGAGGATAAATATAATTGATATAAAAGATAATTATAACTCGAACACATTCTACCTTTAAATATTAAATATCAAATTATATATAAAGTTCATAAAATGCTTTTGTTATATAATTTTTTTTCTTGCATAACTATACATTATTAAAAATAGTATAGATATTAATATTATGGACATTATATACGAAGAATATATACGAATAATCGTAATAAATATTTTAATCTTACAATTTTTCATTGATATGTAATTATTATGAATATAATTGAACAATTAGTTTCCATTCATTTTGCAAGAGATTGAAAATTGTTTTTTATATAGAATATATATTGCATAAATGCAAAATTCTATGTAATAAGTGTTTGTATTTGATATTTTTAGAGATTTTCTTTTTCAATACATTTTGTTAATGTATTACTCAACGCAAAAAAAAAAAAAAGAAAAAAAAAAAGAAAAAAAAATGTAAGTCAAATATAATTCAGAATAAAATAAGAAATTAAGAACATTCAAATCATGTATGTTTATCGATTACAACAATAAATCTTGTATTTCTAAATGTCTTTATGACAAATAATTATGAAAAGCTTTATTTTCGTATGAAATAAATCAATGAATTATTAAATATATAAGTTTCAATGTTCAACGATATGTAGTTTAGTATTTTTAGTTTGCTCTACAAATTTTATCTTTATACAATTAAATTAATTTATTTATTGATATTTATTATATTTATATTATAACAAACTATTTTATAATTACAGCATATACATATAGTGTGTGACTAATAACGATCGACTAAGAATTCCTTACGAGGTATGAGCGCAATGTATCATCGATGAAGAAGCTGAAAAAAAAATTGGATAGCGCGAGAGGTGGGCAAGCGAGCAAGACAGCAAGCGCCACAAATACAAGCGGAGATGCATCACCTACCCGTGTGTGTAGAGATTTCCTGCGAAACGTGTGCCACAGGGGTAAACGTTGCAAGTATTTACACGAACGTTCCGAGGACGATCCTATAGATGAATATACGTTCTGTCATGACTTTCAAAATGGTATGTGTAATTGGCCTGGATGTAAATTTCTTCATTGTACGGAAAGTGAGGAGAAGAGATTCCGAGCAACAGGGGAATTACCTGCTCATATCTTGAGTAGGCTCAAGAATAATAATGAGAAATCTGAATATCCCATGTGCAAAGATTTTATCAAGGGTAGCTGTCAAAGAACAAATTGTAAATTCAGACATTGGAAGAATGAAGAACCACAGCATAATTTGATTGCTACTTCCCATCATAATGTATCTAGACCACAACATAATTTCAATGGCACTAGCAATGATGAAAATCGAAGATACGAGGAGGATAGAAAGTAAGTTTGTTCAATGTTTTTTTTTTTATTCAATTTTAAAAGAATACGATTTTTTTTAAAAATATTTAGTATACTTTGTAAAATTTTAAACATAAATATTTTTGAAATATATATATCTTTAATAATATATCTATATATCTTTATATTTAGTTTCCACTGGCAAATGGAAGATCAACATAATTTAGTTACGAACAATGGTTACAATACACCTTCACATCCACCTGATTATATAGGACCTCCTGAACCAAAGAGACGAATAGTTTCTGGTGAAACTGTTGTTCATTTTGAAGCTTCACAACTTGTAGGTCAACATACTGCACAACCAGTTACACCAGGATACTATTATCCAGTAATACCACGTAATGAAGCTAGAGCAATTGTTTTAGAAGATGAAAATGCTTTATTAAGAAAAAAAATAGAAGAATTGAAAAAACAAGTTAGTATAATTTTATTATTATAATTTTTTTCACATTCTATGCATATGATAATTTTATATATTTTATTTTTTAAGGTTAGTGATTTAACAGCAACTAATGAATTTCTTTTGGATCAAAATGCTCAGTTAAGAATGTCAGGGAAACGGACTGCAAATGTAACGGCTGTTACAGTTCCTGCAGTTACTATTACAAACACTGTTCCACCATCACAAGCTCCAACACCTCAACAAATGGTTAATGCAGCAGTAGCTGCTGGTACCTTACGTACAGTTACTGCAAGTGTTGCGACCGTTCCTGTAAGTATAGCTACAGTTGCACCTGTTTCTATTGCAGCAGTTTCAATGGCACCAGTATCAATTCCGCCTCCCATCGTTACAATGGCTCAACAAACTATTACGATGAGCGGTTCAGGTCCACAAGCAACTAATCAACAGCCACCTAATACACAACAACCAGCTAGCTTACCTCTTTCAATATCTGGTGCTACTGCACCATTGGTTTCGTATCCTATTATGACTCAAGAACTTAGGCCGGTATTGCAGTAAATACACTATAAACAAAAAATGAACATCAAATAATACCTCAAACATTTGAAGAATCAAGAATGCTGTCTTCTGCATTCAGTCTTTCAAAATGATATTGTATTTCTACTATTTTTTCGAATATAAATTATGAATGAAAAAAAATATCTTCAGACGATCAAAAATTTTAAAGAAATAAATTGTTGAAAATATATTAATAAAAAAAAGATGCGACATCCTCAATATTTATGTAGAAACTCATAGAAATTATGTACAGGATAAACAAACATAATGATCATGACTGTTTTTTAGCAGTATGGCTTAAATAACACGCCCTTATTATAATTCCTTAAGTCTAGTATTTTCGTTCCTTTCAATAGTTTACCCTATAAAAGGTGTTGACTACATTAATATGTTAATATGCAAGAATAAATGTCCAAAGTGTGTATAGATTTAGATTAATAAGAATACTGATCTAAAACCATGTTGAATGGTTGAGAATGATATTCTCTTATTCTTTTTTTGATATTGTAATATCATAAAAATACAAATAATTTTGTAGGTAATTTTTTGTATCATTAAAAAAATAATCAGATACAAGTAAAAAAAAAATGTAAATTAAAGAAAATATAGATAAGAAATGACTTGTTTAGGCTAATATGTTAAAATAAGTACAAAACTAGGATGAAACATGTAAATGAATTATATTAAAAGTTCAAACTTAAGGTTGCTGTTTTCTAATGGTAAATCTTACATATTCTGTATGCAATGCTGTAAATAATATTTTGTTGCTTCCTCATTTTCTCAGAAAAAATTTTTATACTTCCATCTCTTTAACAAATAAGTTAACTATTCTTATAAAATAGTGATATTTTAATAAATTAAGTACTTACTTATTGTGGTTTTTTGTGTTTTTACAATTTTATTTAAGTAAATAGCTTTGCATTCAGGTGATGGAAAGTAAAGACTATGGTTTTAAGCCGAATGTAAAAATCAGATACACAGATATATAATGTGCATCCCATAAACCAAATAAACATATGTACATGTTTTCAAGTTATATTATCAGTCATGGATTGATATATGTGTAAATATATTTTGCGTAATTAGTATAAGAAATTGAGCAATAAGTACATACTCTTGTATTTTATATATGCATACAAATGTATAATCTTTTATGTATCATTTTATGTTAACAAGCATCTTATTAAAATGATAAATATTTAAATTCTTCAAAAATAGCATTCATACTATATTTTTTATTAAAAATTTGATGCGTATATATAATAAGACTTTTTTTTATTTAATATTTAATTTTATTTAAAAAATTTTTAAAGACAATAATATGTAATATATTTAAAATAGCTTTTTGTATAATTTATCACATTTAAATTTTTATTTTCATTTTAATTTCCTATTTTAAAATATTTGTTACCAAACCAAAAAAATAACTTTAAACAATAATTAAAGAAGAAATATTGATATTGATATGATATTAATTGATAGCAAATATGAGTGGAAATTAAGTATTGATTATCGTAGTTTATAATATTGTCTATTTGATTAGTTGGTGAATATGTCAATAGAATCTCCATAATAAGATGTTATTACAATATTTTTACTCTTATAAAAATAATATTTTTAATTTTTAAATAAACTGTGAGATACAGGAGTTTCATTTAAATAATTTCTAATTACATTATTTTAACAATTAAAATATTTAAATGTAATTTATTTTGTTAATACATTGATAAATTTTGTTTGATTTATTTAACATAAATCTAGAATTAAATAAAAGATCTTAAATATAGATATACAAATTACTTATATTGAATTTTATAATTATCATTATGACATTTTTTATATTAATATTTTACATTTTTTGTACATAAATAATTAAATCTCGGAATAAATATATCTTGTTATAAATTAAATTATTATTTATATAGAAAAATATTCATTTATAATTTATAAAATTTATATCTAAATATGTATTTTATAATTTGCTAATATGATATAATAAGATCTTTTAAATTTTTCCTATGAAAATAAGAAAATTTTATTAATTCATGTGGAGTTTTTTCTCAAGACCAAGTGAAATATGATTGACTTTCCATGATCAATCTTATAATAAAAATACGAAATTAATAAATGAATGTAAAAATTCTATCATAAGAATAGAAAATAAATATGTAATGAAAAATGTTTCAAAATACTATTACATAATTCATAAATATCTTTTTTCACAATTATTCTATTGCTTTTGTATTTTTTTTGCCGTTGTAGAAAAGTTTTCATTATAACAACATTTTATAATATTAGATATTTAATATTAGATGCTGTATTTTCTATCATCTTTTTTATATCTCTTTTATTCGATGTTACACACGATTTAAAATAATAACTACATAGCAAAAAACTTCTTCTAAATCTTATTTTTTGTTTACAAAAATTATCGAAGAATTAAATTCATCATATTCACATGAATAGATTCATTAAATTACATTTCATATTGATATATATAAGTATATATATTAAAAATCCTTACTTCATATATATCTAAATACGCGTATAATAAATGAAATTGAAATTCGTGTTTTTTAATTTATACATGTTACATGTATATATTATTTTTATATTTCTTAATATAAAATAGATTATGTATATATAAATTATATATATATTTGTATTTTTATGTTAAGAGACAATAAAGATAATCAGATCGAAATCATTTGAGCACATGAATTTTGCACAGTAAGTATATAAATATAAAAAAGGAGAACAAATGGAAGAAAAATAGAAATAAGTTAAAAATTAAAAAATCAACGCCATCTCTAAAGTGTCATAAAAATGTTTTATTATATATATATAAAGATATTTTTATCTAAATATCTAATTTATAATTTTGTCACAAAAAAAAATAAAAAATTAACTTCATTTGTGACAGTAAGAAATCATAGAAATTATATTCAATTCAATCACAAAAATTGAATATTAAATATATATATATATGTATATATATATATATATTAGATGAATTCATAATTGCTATTTAATTGCTATTAATAATAAATAAATGTACGAGTCTCTTGAGCAGAAAAATAAAATAATTAATATAAAACAAATATACATTGAGATCAAATAGGAAGATAAACATAGGATAAAAATTTATTGTCAGTATTTTGAATATTTATATCAAAAACATTTTTTTTAAAGTATTAAGAGATGCTGATGGTAAATTGTTATTTTATTTTATAAATTTATATTTATATTTGTTTCAATTGCGATATTTTAGAAATCTTTCATTCCAGCTAATTATTATCTTTAATTTTTATAATTATCTTTTTTTATTTAGCTGGTTTTTTTCTTTATTATTTATTCTTCTTTATACTCGTTTTTGGCGTATAATAAAGATACGGGACGTTAATTGAATACATCATTTTTCTTTCAAAAATACGTTTTAATCTTTAATATATAAAATAATAAAAATAGATATATTTTTGATTTTACAAAGTATTTTTAGAACAACAAATCTTGCAAAACAGGCCATAGCAATGAGATTTAAATTTCAAAAAGTAGAGAAAATTTTCGCGTATCAGTTCTTTTCTAATTATATTCTTCTGACTTTAAATTGTAAATTCAGACAAAAATTTGTATTGTTGGAAATTTCGATTTTATATTGGGAGAATATAAATTGAGATAGCATGTATTTATTATCTTTATCAGCCGTTTTGTTTAAGCAAAATTCAAAATGTTACAAATATTAATATAATTTAAATATCATTCAAAATTGAGATATTTTGGATTTTAACTATATAAAATGTGTATCATCATTGATTCAGAATTTGTCTATAATATATAATACATAACAATAACAATAATCATTACACCTTATTTTTTAAAAATATGTTTAGAATGATTATATATTTTGATTAATTATTTTATCAATATTTACAAGTAGATTAATTTTTTAATTTTTAAATTTGGTAAATATAATATTCAACCATTTGATATTGATTTGATATGATTGATAATTTGATATTTGTATCCACAAATATTTTTAAATAATATTTTTTATGCTATTGTTAGCAAAGATCGTAAAGTTCTATTTTTTAACCAATATACACCTGCTAATAAAATGGTACAACAAAATCCAACTAAGAATCGTAATTTCCAATGATATTTGGAAGCTTTTAAAACATTAATGATTCTAATAGATTGCTGTCTAGTATCATATTCACTACCAGAATTTTCAATAACAAAATTTGCCATTTCTGCTTTCTTTTCCAATGACATTTGTGCAGCAATTCTTAATTTTGCTTTAGCTTCTGTGAATCCTGTTCTTTCCATAAGCCGTTGTAATTGTAAATCTTCTTCACTAAAATTAAACATAGTTATATATATATATATTATATATATAGTTTTTTATATTTAATAACTTTTATTCATTAATTATATCTATATCTTTGTATAAATGAAGGCCATTTTTTTTACCAAGTTACAACAATTATTTTATGTAAGTAATTTAACATATGTCCTGTTTCAAAAAGTAATGGTAACTCCATGAGTATAAACTGATGACCTTGTAAAAAATATTTAAATGCTTGCCAATATATTTTCTTATATATATATGGATGTGTTATAGCATTTAATTTTTTTCTTTTTTCTATATCGTTAAATATTAAATCTCCAAGTTTTGCTCTATCAAGTTCATTTGTGTCTAAAAATATTTCCAAACCAAATTCTTTACGTATTTTATGCCAAGCTGGTTTTCCAGGTTCTACAACTAAATATAAAATATATAAATTTTTAAACAAATAAAAAATAAATGTATTAAAATAATCTTGTAAAATATCATAAATATATTAAAATAATCTTATAATAAAATATATTATAAATTTCTTAAATGATAAGTTTTGTTTTATTTCTAACCTTTTCGTGCAATTTGATCAGCATCAATGACAGGTATGCCGAATTCTTGAAAAACAGCAGCAACACTACTTTTTCCAGTAGCTATTCCACCTGTCAAACCTACTAAAAACATTTTTCTTTGATATTTATTTCTATACTTTAATATTTATTTTTTAATAATTAAATGAACATCGTTATTAGCATTGCATTGCAAAATTTGATCTTATTTAATATAAATTATATTATGACAGTTTTCACTAAAATTGAAAGTTTTTTTCTTTTGTATAATTTTAATATAATATATATATAAAATATATATGTATATATTTTATTGAAAGGCACATGAACCAATTAAAGATGGATAAAACGAACAGAATATGAATATATATAATTAATTATATGTTTAATTAGAATATATTGTTTCAGTTAATAGTATATTACTAAATTGAAACAATTAATTTATAAAAATAATTTTTTAAATTATTAATTTTTAAAATTAAAATTTTAAAATTATTAATTTGATCATTTGTATGAATTGTTATACTTTTAAATAACTTTTTTTTTAAATTATTGAAAATTTTAAATCTATATTAAAATTCGTAATTCGTAGGAACCTGAAACTAGTAACATTGTCTACAAAACAGAATACTGAAGTGAAAGTACAGAATCTGAACATTGTTGCCGGATTTTTCATTATGTTTTTTTAATATCTAAAATAGTGTGTTATTGTGTAAAATATGTCAATATTTCTAGATTTGTGAATCGTCCTTAATTTCTTTAGATTTTGATCATAGTTTTATTTACATCGGTTTGTTGAACAATATAAGAAACTATAATCATGATATAATATTACCTCGCCATTTTTAATTTTGAAAGAATTATATTTTGTATTATAATAAAATCATAAAAAAATTTGAATTAGATTATTGGATTTCATTATATTGTTTTATTTAATTTAACTTTAAAAAATTAAATCTTAAAAATACTATTAAAATACTATAAAAATAATATTACATTGTAAATAATAAATATTTTAATATATTTTCTATACTATTGACATAATTTTTATATTCATTTAACAAAAATTAAAGAAGAAGGATTTATATAGAGAAGTTATAAGATTATAAAGAAAAGATTAAAATGAATCGCCGGTTTAATAAACCTATTCGTACTTATGAAAGGAAAAAAATTAGAGAAGTAGTAATTTCAATACCAAAAATAAATAATTCAGATGATGCTAATAATAAAAATAATGCTTTGTTGAATCAAAATTTAAACGAAGAAAGTAATGATTCTATGTATGATGATCCTTTTGAGACTACATTCGATAGACTCCTTAAGAATACGAGGTAAAAAATTTTATAATTATTTTATTAAAATATTTAATAGAATATATTAATAGAATATAAACCTTTATATAGAAAACCTCTACCACCAGCACCTAAAACATATAATGATACAATATTAATAACTAGCACAGATAGTAAATCTGAAGTAAGTAATCATAAGTCTTCATTACTTGAAATATATAATTTTGATACAAAATTAATTTCTAATGAGAAAGTAATGCATAAAAAGCCAAAAATGCGAGTTGTAAAGAAAACAATAATAAAAAAAAAAACATCTATATCACAAAATAGTAAAAAATTTAAAGTAAGTATTTATTTACTATTATAAAATAATATTGAATTTATTATCATTTATTATTATATGTATCATTATTATATAAATTAAAAATATTGAAATAATTTAATAGGTATATAAAGATGAATCTCAAAAGAAATATGAATTACGTAAAACAAGAAATAATAAAAAAATATTATCTAAAAATTTAAATGTTGATTGTTTAAGTTTTAATTTTAATGAAACTCCTCAAAGTAAAAAACGCAATCAAAATAAAAGAAAAACTTCTAATAAAAAATATTTTGTAAAAAAGAAAAGAAAAGATGATAATAATATCTCAAGAATAAAATCTTCTAATAATATAGAAATAAAATCATGTTACGTTAGTTTGGATAGATCCATTGTAACACAATGGAATAATAAGTTAAATGCAATAGAGAATAATTTAGTGAAGAAAAATGATAAATTATTGGATCAATATTCGATTATTAATACCAATATTGATAATTTTAAATCTAATATTGAAAATGTGAAATGTTGTTCTATTAAAAAAGAACAATTAAAAATAGATTCATATGTAAAACCATTCAACATTGAGAAAAAATATAAAGATATATTCAGTAGTACACCTAATGGTAAACCTATTAGACCATCTGTTCATTTGATTCCTTTATCACCAATTTCTATTGAACATTTAAAAAAAAATAAAAATTCTATAATGCTTGCAAATAATACTTTAATTAATGAAAATAATGAAGTTTCATTAGAATCCAAATTTATAACTAATGATATATGCAGAAATATAGAAGAAAAATGTGTATTCGAAAATAAATCTAAGTTATTATCTAATTTCAGTGAATGCAATTTAAATCAATTAGAAAATATAGATAAAAAAAATATTAATTTATTGACTATATTTAACTATACTACTAATGAACATTGTAAACAAAAAAGAGAATCTTTAATAAAAATAGATTCAGAACAAAATATTTCAAAAAATCAAACTAAACAAGATGAGCTAAATAAATTAATAACACAAGAATATAAAATTTCAAATATAAAAATGGATGAATATTACTTAAAATTTTCTATTGATGAAAATAACTCATGTTCTTTATTTGATAGCAATGAAAGTATTCAAAATATATTACATAATTTTCCTGAAGAATCTAAGGAAATTGAAGATAAAAACAATAGTATACTAATTGAACAAACTTTATCAAATGAAAACAATATATCAAATAAAAAATATTCTTCCATAGATAGTGAAAACAATATATCATCATGTCATGTAGTTTTAAAACAATTGCAAGATCCCTTTAGAATTACAAGAAGAAAAAAATATTCTAAATGGGATCTTGAATTAATTGCAGAAGATTCTAATAATAGTATCAAATTGAAAGAAAAATCTATGCATTCAAAAAAAGAAATTAAGGATAAACAAATATTACAAAAAAGATCATCAATTTTAGAAAATGTAATAGAGAAATCTAATAATAATAATTGTATAGAAATAAAGAAACCTATATATTTAAAACCAGGCAAATCTTGGGCAAGATCTTTATCAATTTTAAATAATATACAAACTGAATTTAATTTAGAAAAATTATCTGTTGGAAAAGGTAAAAAATGGAGAGATAGTGTTCAGGATATTTTGAATATGCAAACACAAGGTAATTATAATTTTAATATAATTAAAAATGCTAAATTTATTTTATTTAATTAAAAATTATACTTTATTAAAATTTTTTTTATACTTTATATTAAATTTATTTCCATATAAAAGATTAATACACAATGTATATATAATCACATAAACATTTGAATGTTGTTTTTATATTTCACAAAACAAAATATTTTATTAACCTGAAACATTAATATTTTATGCTTTTTTATGATATAATATACATGGTTTATTTCATATTCTACTTCTTACATATGTATTTTATTTTTTAAGAATGTTATTTTAAAATAAATTTTTATTCCAAATATGCATTTTTATTAAAAAAAAAAAATAAAATATATATTACTTTGTAAATATGTTGTAAATGGGTAGGTCTTTAAAGTGAAGAAACATGAACAAATATTTATTTAGATTATAATATTATAATTAATTGAATTTTTTACACATAGGAATTATACAAAGTTGTATAAAAAAAAATGATAGTGATAAAGAATTACAAATAACTAATGAAGTAATTAATAAATCTGAACATGAATTGGTTAATAAAAAGAGTAGGACCTGTGATTCTACCAATTTTGGACGTGTTTCAAGAAGGATATCAGTTCGTGTTATTCCAATTCATAAAACAGTAAAATCCATTGAAGATGCACCATTTCTTGAAGTTTATGGCATTGTTCCTGTTAAAAGTCAGAGATTTACATTATTAAATAATAGTAAATAATATCAAATAATAATTTTATTTTATATTGTATATTGTTTATATTGTTTATATTGTATATTGTATATATTTATTTATAGATCCTCGAAAATCTTCTACATGCAACTTTCAACATGATGATATTGATGGTCAAATTATTAGAGAACATGTAGTTTTAACAGCTAGAGAAGTTATTTTACAAAGATGTTCACAAAAGGATTACATATCATTTTCAACATATTTTTCAGATTTGTAAGTATATATATGTATATATGTCTGTGTATAATGAAATTGTTAAATTAATATATGTATAATCATATAATAATTTATTTATATACTTAGATACTTAGAACACTGTCGAAAAATTGGAGAAGGTGTATATGGAGAAGTTTTTCTTTATGAACAAGAAAATAAAAAATCTGTTATAAAAATTATTCCTATAGAAGGTAATGATTATGTTAATGGAGAACCACAAAAAAAATTTCATGAAATATTATCAGAAATTGTAATTGCAATGTAATTATAACTTTATTATTTATGATAAATGTTAACAAATATTAATTATAACATTAATGTATTGATAAATTTTAGGGAATTACATAATTTGAGATTCAATGCAAGATACAATACTGATGGATTTGTAGAAGTAAAAAATATTAAATGTATAAAAGGAAAATATCCAGAAAGACTTATAGAATTGTGGAATATCTATGACGAAGAAAAACATTCGGATAATGATTGTCCATCAATGTTTAATGATGATCAGTTATACATTGTTCTTGAACTTGGACATGGTGGTCAAGATCTAGAAGCATTTGTATTTAATACTGCAGAGGAAGCTCATATTTTATTTCTACAGGTTACTTCTTAATATTATTATAAAAATTTTATATTAACAATCTAAATTATATTATTGTATCTATAATTAATAATATATTAATAATTTTTTAAAATATAATTACTTCGTTTTAATAAATAACAATTTTTAATAGGCTGCATTAGCATTAGCTGTTGCAGAAAAAGCTGTTGAATTTGAACACAGAGACTTGCATTGGGGAAATATATTAATATCTCCGACAACTGAAACTTATGTACATTTTAAAATTGGACAAAAAAACATTGAATTGATTAGTAAAGGTGTAAAGGTAAACAAAAATATTTCTTTTTTAATTATTCCATTTTTTTCTAATTATATAAATAAAAATATTAAATTTCTGTATTTAGGTATCTATTATAGATTTCACTTTATCAAGAATAAAATATCAAGGATGTAGTGTATTTAATGATCTTGCATCAGATCCTACACTTTTTTCAGCTCAAGGTGAATATCAATTTGAAATATATCGATTGATGAGAGATAAAGTTAAGTAAGTATTTAAATATAATTTTTATTACATATGTATTATATACATATGTATTATTACATATGTAAAATAATATAATTATTATATAATTATTTAAAAATTATTTCAGGAACAATTGGCAAACATTTGAACCTTATACAAATATTTTATGGTTGCATTATACTTTAGATAAAATGATTACAGCAGTTAGGTATAGAAAAAGAAATTTAAAAACTCATAAAAATGGCATAACAAAGTTGAAAGAATTGAAAAATGAAATTTTGATATATAATAGTGCCTTTGAGTTTGTAACAAACTGTGATAAAATTGATAATTTATTACACATTAATCCAAAATCTGGGTGACACATATATAAAAAAGAAAATATACAATTGTATATAAACAGTAAATAACAATACAATTTTTTAATATTTATGCTACAGATTCAAAGTAGTTTATATTATATTAATAAGTATAATAATAAAATTAAAATAAATATTTCATAATATTAAGATGAAAAAAATTACAGAATTAAAAAGAATATGTAAATTTATATATATATTATATATAATATATATATACATACATACATACATATGATATGATATTTTAAATATTTTTTTATTTTTACAGGTTTGTTAAATTTTCTTCAAACTTTTAACAAGTTTTAAAATCTTCTTTAGATATAATTTGATTTAATTTAAAAAAATATATTACAAAAAAATTCTATTTTTTATGATTTTTAAAATCATTTGTTGTAAATAAGTCCCGCCTTACTATAAATGACAAATGCATTATAATTAATTTTGTATTTTTTATTAAAATTTATTACAAGCATTTTCATTTGATGTTAAATCTTTTAAAACTATAATAATATAATTTATATGAGAACAAAATTACAGTATCAAAATTGTTATAACATTAAGATTCAGAATAAATATCTTATAAAAATATATTGTATTTTTGACAAATTTTATTTCAAAAAATTTTATTGTTAAAAGAACAAATTTTTTGAAATATATTAATAAAATTTATCTTGAAAACTTTAATAATATTAATCTGTTGTTTTAATATATTCATGTATATTGCTCAATTTATGGTAAACACTACATTGATTAATAAAACTCCATCTTTGTTTATCAAACTATAAAAATAAAAGTATATATTAGAATAAAATAAATATAATTAAAATAAAAATTTATAAAATTAAATATACAGTGCTATCTTTTTCCATTTGTTTTTCTTTCTCATATTTATTTTCTAATTCTAGAGATTTTTCTTCACCATTAAAATATCTGTAATATATATTGTAATATAATTTAATAATACTTTATGCAAATTTAATAATATTTTTTTTATAATAATATTTTTAAGTTACCCAAAATTATGTTCTAAACTGAATTTATAATCTTGTGTTTGTAAAGTTGGATACTTTTGATCATTGAAAGATCTAAATTGCCATTGATTTTGTAAATGTGAAGTTTTCTCCTTTACAATTGATGACATCATTTTATTATACATTGATTCTTTAAAATAAAATAATTATGTTAGTATCTTGTATAAATTTAAGATAGAATTATATTTTTTAAATATTATTATTTTATTTATATTTACCTTCTTCATTCATCGGTAACATTTGAAATTTCTTTTCTGGTTCATTTAATTTTGTATAAAATTGCTCTTGAACACCATTATCAGACGAACATTGATTTACATTTTCCATGTGTATTATATTAGTGTTGTTATTAATAATTACATTTATTCGTTCATGCAATTCCATTAATTCTTTCATATTCAATGACTAAAAATATTTAATTATTATTAATTAAATGTTATTATTATATAAAAATGCAATTACATACTAATAACCAATTTTCTGAGTCAAACATTTTTTCATTTTTTATATCATCTTCAAATTGTTTTTGTAAAATTTCAATATTTGCTTTATGTCTCTCACAAAGTGCATTTAAACTACTATCATAATTTTTCTTCATTAATATTAATTTATCTTGATATTCTTCCATCTGAGACTATGCAAAAATTATAAAAATATTAAAATAAAAGTATTATAGAATATATATAATACACAAAATATATAGTTAAATATAATTTAATAATTATAATAATATATTTTATTCTTATATTAATATCAAATAAAAATTACTTTAAGAATAGTACGAAGATCATCATTTTCTTGCATTAAATGTTTTATGACTTCTTTAGGATGTTTTATTTCAAAATCTTTATTCTCCATTTTATTTTGGTTTACATTATGTTCATTTATAATATTTTTTTCCTTATATTTTGTATTTATGTTATTATCTTGCAAAGAATCAAATCTTTCAAACGTTTTATAATTATTTTTAAGTATTTCGTCTTTTATATTTACATTATTTAATAATTGTATATCAATTTCTTCTATTTCATTTTCTTTTATTTCTCGTTTTTGATCACTATATTTTTGTTTGAAATTTTCAGTTGTATTATCTATAGTTAGTTTTATTTCTCGATCTTGATGAATCTAAAAATAAAACGAGTATATAATTAATTAATAATAAATAAAAGATATATAAGAATATATTTTACTAACTATATATTTATCTTGCAAATTTTTAATATTTGATGATTCTTCTAAGTTAGATAACTTTTTAAGATTTAATAATCTTTCATATATTTTATTAGAAAGAACATATAATTTGTTTTTTAGATTTTCTTCTATCATTTCGTTGCGTAGTCTAATCGATAATTCAGAGATTTCATTTTTCCAATATTCCACATCTTTTTTCAAGATTTCATTTTCACGTAGAAATGCATCTAAGCTAATATCAAGTTTTTTATTATTATTTTGATCACTTATAAGTTGATTTCTTAAGTTATTGAGTTCAATTTTTAATTTCTTTTCATTTTTATCCAATTTTGTTAGATTCTCTTGCATTGTATATATAATATTAATTTTATCATTTTGTTCAGTTAAAGATATAATTGTTAGATTCATTTCCATAAGTTTATGTTCCATATCTTTTACTTTTTCATTTAATAACTTATTTTCATTTTCCAATTTCAAAAGTTCACAATGCTTTCCTTCCATTGCATTTTCATATTCAGCAACTTTTTGTGATAAAATATTATCAGTTTTATCAATATTACTTTTCAAGCTAATTATAGTTTTATCTTTTGTAGAAATAATTATATTAGCTTGAATATTATTTTTTTTTAATTCATTATTTTCAAATTGTGAATCAATTAATCTACAAATATGTTAAGAATTAAAATATATATAAAAAAAAAATATGCTACTAATGAATTTAATGAAAAAAATACTGTTTATAATTTTATAAAACAAAATAAGTATTACCTTTTTTCTATTTCTTTAATTTTATTTTCCAAAACAGTATTTAAATTTTTAGTTTCAAGGAATTCATGAACTTTCTGTGATAAATTTTTAATTTGTTTGTTTTTCATTACTAATTGTTTCTTGCTTTGTTGACATTCTTTTGATAATCTATTTTTTATATTTTCTAGATTTTTGTTCTCTTTTTTTAATGTATTACAATCTTTATCATATATAGACAACTCATTTTTAAATACTTCAAGTTGCCCTTCTAATTTCAATATAAGATCATCTTTTTTATTAAGATCCATGATCATTTTTGATAACTGTTCTTTAATATTATTTTCAAACTTTTCTTCTTTTAAGGAATCACCTTCTCCTCTTTGTTGTTGTGCCATTTCCTTTTTTAATTGAGCTATTTCTACATCTTTCCTTTTTAATTCTTTTTGTTGTTCTCCTATTCTTTCAATTATTTGTATATGTTGATCTCCAGAACCTTAAATTATTTTTTGACATTAATTATTATAAATATCTCTTTATTGTTAAATTTATCATTTTTAAATATTTCTAAGTAAATAATAAAATATATATTAAATGATGGGTATATATATTTAATATATTTATATTATATATTAATATATTTTATTTATTTATATTTAAATAATTATATTGCATTATAATGCATTATAATTATTTAATATAATTACCTTGAAGAATTGTATTTATTTTATTAATACACGATTTCAAATATATTTCAATTGCTCGATTAATTTTTTCATCACATAAATGTTTTTTTTCCGTATATAAAATTTCATTTAATAATTGATATAAAATTTCTTCAATAAATTCATTTATCTTATTTTGTATCTGTAATAAATCACTAGGAAACTCTTTAATGTAAGAATTATACTTTATTTGTTCTTCTTTATGTTGATTATACAAATCAGAAATTACTTTCTTCTTCGAGATTATATCTAAAAAAAAAAAAAAATAATATATTAATGTATATTAATAATAATTTTGTAAAAATACAAATCAGCAACTTAAATTACCTTGAGACATATTAATAGCTGATTGTGTATCTTTAAGAATTTCGTAAAAATAATAAGTTTGTTTAATCATTACAGGACGTTCAATTTCTATATATATTTGTAATTTTTGTGTAAGCGAACGCAATTTTATAATAAAATGCGTAAAATATTTAATGATTTCTTTTTCTATCTTATCTATATTATCATTTCTACTCAATTTAATCATATAATTATGATATTCCTATTAAAAGATATATTATTTGTTTTAAGAAAAATATTAAATGAATGAAAAATATTACCTTTTGGAATTCAGGAGAATCGAAATTATTTATTGTTTCATTTGATTGATTCATTGTTAAATTTGTATTATTAAATGAATTATTAGGTGAAATAATGTCTAATTCTAATTCATTTGAATTATTTTCATTTTGTCTTACATCAAATAAAACTATGTTGTCCTTAACTAAAATATATGAGTTTGATAATATTGATCTTATTCAACACAATATATAATTTATATAAATTTTGAAGAACATTACTTATATTTTTTGAATCTTCTTGAAAGTCATTAAAAAATTCTTCACAAATTATATTTTTTAAATTTTGATTAGAATAATTTTGCTGTTTATTATTTTTTATATAATGTTCTAAATCTCCTATTTGTTGTAAATAATTCTGTCTTTCTATTTTGTAACTTTGAAATCTTGTCATAATAATGTTTATATTGTATAATATATTATTTGCTTCTTCACCGATGTCCAAGTTACATTTTGTACAACTACAAACTTCTTCACAAACATCATTAAGCTCTTCTAAATTGTTTAAAATGTATTTTATATTATTGAAAAAATCACTAATATCTTGCTTCATAGAAACTAATTGCTCTTGATATTGAGAAATCTTAATATCTTTATTTTGAATTTCAGTTTTTAAGATCTCCAATGTATTGTTTGTCTCCATCTAATAATTACAATTAAAAAATATAAAAATATAAAATATAATATTTAATAAAACATTTAATACATATAATAAAAATAATATACTTGTTCATTATATTTAATAGATAATTCTTTAATCACTTTTAATAATTGATTTAATTTTTCTTCTTGATCTGTTAATAGACAATGCTGCTCATAATTTTGTTTCTTAAGTTCATCTCTTTCTTTTAATATATTTTTTAACTGTTCTAAAGATTCATTATAATTTTTTGTTAATTCTTCCATGTCTTGTACTTTTTTCTACGATATAGAAAGAATAAATAATATTTTTTTTGAAAATTTTAATTTTAAATATGAATAATAACTAACTAAAAGTGACTCTTTTTCTAATCGTAATGTTATTGTTTCTTTAATACATAATTGAAGCTTTTCAATTTCCTGAGAATATAAATAACAACTTTCACATTTCTCATTTAAATCTTGTTTGAGTTGTTCCATCAAGCATTTATAACCATAGAGCTAAAAAAAAATAAGATAATATTATAAAATAAAATAATAACATTAATAATTATATTACTATTAAAAAATTATATTACTTTTTGCTTCAAATCTTCTATTTCATAATTACGTTCATGATCTAATTTGAACAATTTTTCATGTAATATCTGTATAACAATTATTAAATTAATTGACTTAAATATTTTTATACAATATATTTTAAAATTAATTTGTAAAATTATAATTTATAACTTGCTTTAAGATTCTCTTGTTGAGTGTGTATAAAACTTTCTTTTTCTTTTAATAAAATCTCCAAATGTTTATTCATATCACGTAATTCTTCTAATTCAGCATCTCTTACCTGAAAAAAATAAAAATATAAATTATTATATAATTATAGATTTGTACATCATAATTATAAACTTATATATCATACACAAAGTTCATTTTTCAAGACAATGATTTCAGAATCTTTTTGAATGATAATTCCTTTGTGAATACTATTATGCCGATCAAAATCAGATTCTGTTCCTATTTCAGTATCAGATTCTGTTGGACTTTCAATATCTTGTGAGCTATCACTACAAGATGCATCACATTCAAAACTTTGTTCCTCATGATTATTTGTTTGTGTACTACATTTGTCTAGATCTACTACACTGTTATCTTCATCACTAGATTTGGATGTGAATGATGTTTGTGACATTGTCTAAATAATATAATATTTATATAAATATTATTAAAATAATAAAGAGTACAATTAGATTGGCAATTAGATCCATACAGATACTGTTATAGTTTTATTTAAATATTTATCAACTTGATCATTGATTTGTACTTCTACATCACGTGTTTCTTTCTCTACCTATAAATAGATATTAAATTTAAAATGATATTAATAATAATATGAAAAATTTGATTGATATAATTTAACTACTTGTAAAGCTACATCAACATATTCTATCCATGATGATGTCTTTTCACTGTATTCTGCAAATTAAAATAAAAAAAATTAAAAATTTTATAAATATTCTTATTTATATTGTTTTACCTGAAATAGGAAATGATTTCAAAATAGATCTACATGATGATATTAAATTATAATTTTTCAAAGATGAATCAAATGCTGTTAAAGAATATAAGTGATTATGATTTGTTATGGTTGATGCATTTTGTTTATTCTGTAAATTTCTCTCACAAGGTATATGAATTGATAAATATGAATTTGAATGAATCACAGGACCTGATTTATTCATATTAAAAAATGTATCCTTTAACAATCCTGTTGTATAATTGTTTTTCTGTGACGAAGTTTTTACTTTTGAAATATAATCCTAAAAAATAAAGTAATAAAAGATTGTTGCATAATTTTTTTATTATATATAGAATATTTGTACTATATAATAGTATAATATAAAATATGTTTACTAAATTTCTTAATTGTTCTTCTTGTTCAGGAGTAAGTCTAAGACTCTTATATTTGTTAAGTTCTCTTTTAACTGCTTGAAGTTTATTTTGAGTTTCTGAATTGAGTTGAATAATATTATCAATGACTACATTAAATGGTATTATTTTTCCTATCTACAAAAAAGATAGTTGAAAATTTTCATCTTAAATTTTATTTTTTATTAATAATTTTATTATTATTACTTAAGTACATACTGATGAATCATGTTCATTGAGTTCACGAAAATAACGTGAATTTTCTAAAGAATTAGGACTCCAAGCTCTAATATCTGAACAAGAATCATGTAATTTTAATCGACCTTCTAAACGTTTCTTCGGTAAAACATAATCACCATATATCAAAGGTGTTCCAGAGTTATGTTTACTAGTTAAAAAAATTCGGGGTCCATGTTCTACGTAAGACATATTTACTTTCTTTATTCAATATCACTTTATACATTAATTACTATTGTTAACATAATTGATGAAATCTATATAAAATTCTTCTTTTAAAAATACAATTTATAAAATAAATTGCATTATTTATTTGATTGTTTTTATTTACATACTATAGTAACTATTAAGAAACAAAACCTAAAATAATGTAAATGGTGATCAACATAAAATTCATGCATAAAATTCATAATAAATATTTTATTTTATAATAATTATTAGAAAGAATTGTATTACATTTATCATAATTTTTCGCTTCTAAAATAATATAATCTATAAAATCTATAATACGAATATAATATGAATATGATATGAATTTTGTAGTAAATTAGTATTACTTAAAATATAGAGAATAATGAAATGAAGATTACAAATAATTTATACTGATATGTATATTTAAGTATAAAATATTATATATAGATTGTCAGAATATATATATGTAATTTATAAAGACATATATGTATATCACTACATTATTTACTGCATAATTGACAAAACATTACTTATATATCTGTTTTCTCTTACGAAAAAGTTCTTATTTTAATAAATAAAATTCTACAAAATATATTTCACATATTTTTTTCTCGTTTATATTTGTAGTAATTAATATAAAATCAAATCAAATAAAATTATACATGAAAAAATTTTGCAAAAATAAACTTCTTTAATTTAATAACTAAAATATTTATATATATTATATATTTTCATATATATAAATCAATTTATATAATTGTATTACAGTGAAATATTTCTTTATTATGATGTATTTTTGCCAATTTAATTGAAAAAATGTAATTAATTAATATGCATAATTAATTAATATGTAATATTAATATGCACATTAATGATATATATAATATTTAAGATTAAAAATGTTTTCTTTTTAATTAAATATTATAAAGTATATTATATGAAGCATTATATATTTTTCTTGCACTACAAAAATACTATATAAATGGAATGCCATATACAATTTATCACAATCCATTTTTTGTATTAAACAATAAATGATAAATAAAGAAAGTACATTTTACATCTCTATAAATATATCTTGTAATATTAAAAGATTTTACAACTTGTAAAATATATACTTTAATATCTAGTATTCAATTAGATAACAAATAACATTTATAAAACTGGAATTAAAATTCAAAAACTTCAACATTCTTTAAACAGAATACATATAAAAGTAGATGTGTTTCTGAATACATTGCAATAGGAGTATTCTCAGTTTTGTATATTTGTATTGTAAAAAATATTTGGAATGTATAAAATGTAAATATAAGGCCACTCAATTATTTTTTTTTACTTCTTATATTCAATTTGAAATGAAATATTCATATTAGTATTTCACTTTCTAATAATTTATATACATTTTGTTTATTATTTAATAAAAATTCTTCTATTTATAGTGATAAATTAAATTATCTAACTTCATTATAACTGTATATACTATTATAACTGTATTATATACATAAAAAAATAATTAAAAAAATTAATGTATCATAAAATAATAATTTTAATATTAATATTAATAATAATTTTAATATTATTAAGCAATAACAAATTACAAATTATCAAATGCATGAGAATAGTAAAACATAATTTTGTAAGAATTTTATATATTAAATTTTAAATTTTCATATTTGCAGTTCATTTCATTAAGTAAAATTTAAGTACATTTTATGTATTAAGTACTACAAATATTATTTCAATACTTTTAAAATTTACTTTTAAAAACTTTCAATATTTTTCTCAGCACTATAAACAAATAATAAATGATTTATATAAATATATATATGATGTGTGTGTGTGTGTGTGTGTACACACGTGCGCGCGCACACACACACAAACTGTTCCTTTGTATTAATTTATCTTGAAAACTGATATGAATATTTTAATATTGAATGTATACAAAATATAATAATAAAAGAATATAATAAAAGAATCATTGAAAAATATAATTTTTCTAAATATTTCACATAAAAAGACTAAAAAGTTTTTGTTTTTAACTAAAAGTATAACATGAATCATTTATTTTCTAATTTTAATATTTTTTAATTGTAATATTTTATCTATTTTATCTATTTCCATTTATCATATCATATCATTTTTTTTCAAATAAATTTATCGTTTTAATACTTTCTATATATAATATTTATATTAATTTACAAAAAATATTAAAATATATGAATTATTATATAAATTTTAAAAAAATTTAATTCTAATCTATAAAATAATTCTTCATTTTGTTTCTTTTTCATATCAATCTATTTTATATATGAAACATATTTCAATTTAAAAGACATACATTAAAAATTTTTTCATAATGATTTAGCAAAATTAACTTGTAATTTGTAATATTAAAGAATAACTTTAATGAAAAATATATTAAATTAAAAAAAATAATGAATCTTTTGTAAAATATTCATTTCATATAAATTTTATATTAATTTCTTTATTTAAATGAATTAAATTATTATTCAATTATGTAAAATGTAGCTATCAGACTTTATAATGCTTCATTTATTTCTTTATCTCTTATTGTCATGTTATATTTTCATATTTCTATATATTTCTTTTTGTAAATGAATATTTGAATTAATATTCGATGAGCATGATGTAATGTAAAAAATAGAATTTTACATTTTTGTTACTTATAAATGTAAAACACCTTGATCAAAATGATTTTGATGATGATGATGATGATGATGAAAATGATGATGTTGAGCAGTAGAAGTAGATGTTGCTGCATCATCTTGTAATGTTACACCTGTTAAGTCTACAATTTCATCTGCATCTTCATCGCTACCAGTAGCAGCACTTTGTGTAGACTGATGACTTCCAGAGGACAATTGACTATTACGTGAAAATGATCCTCGTCTTGGAGCAGCTAATGCTGCTCGTTGATTTGCTGGTTTTACTGTGATTATGAGATTTGAAGAATTGGCAATCATCATATCTGTCACCTATTTAAATACATATATATATGTATGTATGTATATGTGTAATATATATATATATATATATATATATATATATATATATATATATATATATATATATATATATAT